TAAGTAGTAAATATATTATTACTAATTATGTTCATCTAATTACAAAAATGATAATATCTTTTTTGTATTTTTTGTTTAATAAAAGAATCAATATTAACTAATATATTGTCTAACATTAATTTAACTTAAATCTATGAAATTGATTTATTATTATGAATTATAAATTGAAAATATTTCTATCAACTTGTAAATTAAATAAACTATAATAGAATATGAAAAATAAATTTAATTTAAATAATTTAATATATTCATACATTATTGTATTAAATATGATAAGGTTTTAAAATAAATTTGTATTATTAAATCAAAAGCAATCATATTTAATAATAAAACAGATGACATATAGCAAAATGAAAATGCTATGAAGGAATTTGGAATCTGTAGTATGAAAGTGTGAAGGAAATTTTGGATTGGGAAATCATTAAAGATAACAATACAAGTCTAAAGATATATTCTTGATTACTTTTAAATAAGTGTCAAAAAGACTGAAATAAGTTTCTATACAATTTATAGTTAATCGATGATAGATCGAATTGAAGCATTCCATAATGGTTGCTTTTTGCATAGAGACATTAAACCTGATAAATTTTTACTTGAGGCAAGCTCATCACCTATAGTGATTTATCTAATTGATTATGGGCTTTCAAAATACTATATTGTATAATTAGATGTAACTAATATAGAATTCAAAAGGGGATCATATCTAATAAATTTAGAAAGTAAGTTTGATTGGTACTGCCAGAAATGCTAGCATTAGTGTTCATGATGAAATAGAATAATTAAAATATTCAAAGAATTCAGAATTTTAAGTCGTTATCGTTAACATAATATTAGCTAATGTAGAAATATTATTCATAGTTTTAGTTTTTAACTGTATAAATTTATTTGTTCTCAATATAATATTTTTTATGAAAATAAACAATTTAAGGAAAATTATTCATCATTATAGAATATAATCATTTAACTAAAAACTATTGTATTGTTAACTTGATTCATAAAGCATTGTTATTTTCTTTCCAGTTTATTTTTATGAATTACCATTGCTATAAATATCCTTTTTTTGTTAATTCTACTTTTCAAATTTAGCTTTGATTTTTTTAAAAATATCTATTGAAACTGATATTAATCTACATAGCAGTTCCTTACCTATGCATATTCATAATATTCATTATGTTAATTATATATAAATTTTGGAAGAAAAGTATATAATTGACTGGATTATTCTATTTTCATAGTTTTCTCTATATTTGTATAATTAGTCTTTTTGTTAAAACATTTTTATGAAGATATGAAAGTAAGATATTAATAATAAAAGAATATATTAAGAAATAAAAAGAACTATTTTGATAACCTAAAATCATAAATGAACATACGGATATAAAGCAAATTAGATTTGAGAAATAAAGGATATCAACTTCTAAACAAGATTTAAAAATTTGGAGCTTTCATGAAGGCAGACTTTAATTAATCTAATAATTGAAAGTTCATTCAAATAATATTATATACTTATCATTCACTCATTTATAAAATTACATAATTGAAGTATGAATGAATAAAATTAATTAATATCTTAATCTACATTCAAATAAAATATCTTGAAAATTTATTATATTAATTTCAATTAAACCAATTATATATATGGAAATGTATTCAAGTAAGTATTGATTAAAAATATTATAATCATTTGATACACACTAAGATTGTGAGCTTTCTGCATGTTTAAACTAATTATTAATTATATTAGTCTTGTAGACAAGATTAAATTAGATTATAATTATAATTTTAGTAATGATTTTGTAATCAATTTTTCAATCACTTATTCATAAAAAGTAGCAAAAATCATTTTTATTATATTGTTTATCTATTACTGTTAAATTAGATGCAAGAGATAATTAAACAATATAGATGAGAACTAGATACAATTATAATTTATTTTATCTAACCAAAATAGAATAAAGTTCTATTTGATGATTTTAAATGATAATGATATATTATTCTTATTTATTGGAATTTCTGGATTAGGCAATATATTAAAATCTTTTTAGAAATACAAGTAAAATTGAAGTATTTGCATAATATTAAGGATGTCTCTTATGGAAGAATTTCCAAATAGAGTGTGACTAT